ATAGTTAACCCCCAAACTGGAGTCAAAACACTATGAAAGTGTAAAAATAGGTTTTAATACCAGCAATACATTTTTGTAAAAATATTACCAACAATGAATTTTTTAAGGAAAAAATTATTACCAGCAATACATTTTTGGGAAAAAAAAATATTACCCGCAATACATTTTTGAAAAAAAAAAATATTACCAGCAATACATTTTTGGAAAATAAATATTACTAACAATAAATATTTTATTGGCATTAAATAACCCATTGAGGTTGATATGCCATAAAACAAACCAAACCAATATTTATGCTTCATCACCATATGGTTTGAATGATAAAATTTGTGAAAATTATATTTGAATTGTCTTGTTTCAGTGGTCAAGTGGTTAAAGCTTTTATGTTCTGACCATGAGACTCAAGTCTGAATCTCACAATTTTCAATTTGTCAAGAAGGTGATTCTTGATAATGTCTGTCTTGGTAGGCCACTTTAGCATACAGCAGTGTTGGTAAGCATTGGAAAATCATACCACAAATTGATTCAAGCCTTGTAAGTAAAACTAGTTAAACAAAAGTGTTCAGAAACTGTTTATTGGTGTCCTAACATGAAGAAATATCAATGCAACCTTCACTACTGATTATGTCAGATTATGTGCTCTTTCTCAGAAACTGTAACTAAAGTCTGCTCAGCTTAGTTGCAGTATAAACCAGATATTATGAATGTGGAAGAAAAACAAATATGCCTGAGTGAATGTCTGCATCAGGGTTTAGCTAACCATCTTAACAGATTGGCATGCTCAGAAATGAGGATTCAGCTATTATTACTATTAATAGGAGTAGTAGTATAGCCATCCTATCAGATGAAACTGAAAACCAGCCTATTCTATTGGCTAGGAAAAAATCCCAGCATGCATTTGTGTACTTCTGTCTATAAATTGGGTAGGGGTAAGTGTTTTGCAATAATTCCAAGTAATATTGGAACCAACAAGCTTACTAAAGAGTTCATTATTAACTTTTGTTTCAGTTGTGAATTCTGAAATGACTTCTGAGGTCTGTAACAAATGGAGTGAAACTAATTTTCCATTTTAGCAATTTGGTATCAAGTAAATCTTTTTTAAAAACAAGAAACATATTAACAAGAAAACTAAATACTTCATTGGCCTCTGTTTACATTGTGATTTCTGAACCTTGATTATACAATAGGGTGAAATACATGTAATTGTTATGTTTCTTATATAATGAATGTAATATAATAACAAATCTTTTACGAAACATAGTAGTAAGGGAAAAGATTAATTAAATGGTTTATTGGCCTCTATCTTAGTTGTGACTTCTGGCCTTCCATTTTAGCTGTGAATTCTGGCCCTCCATTTTAGCTGTGAATTCTGGCCCTCCATTTTAGCTGTGAATTCTGGCCCTCCATTTTAGCTGTGACTTCTGGCCCTCCATTTTAGTTGTGACTCCTGGCCCTCCATTTTAGCTGTAAATTCTGGCCCTCCATTTTATTTGTAAATTCTGGCCCTCCATTTTATTTGTAAATTCTGGCCCTCCATTTTATTTGTAAATTCTGGCCCTCCATTTTATTTGTAAATTCTGGCCCTCCATTTTATTTGTAAATTCTGGCCCTCAATTTTATTGAATACATTTTTTTTAAAACATTTGTTTCATTGCATCAATGAAATGATTTATTTCAGTTTTCTTTTTATAACATCAGTCCTGATACTTTTTGATTAGACCTTATATGTATATTAATATTGGAGTCAGTCTTTAGGTGTCTACATGAAATATGTTTCACATTAATGGTATAACTATGCATAATGCTTTCTTTTCATGGAGATTTTAATTTGTGATCACAAATTACATCAGCTAGAATTTGAACTGAAGTCATAATTAAATTTTTATTAAAACAGATGTCTTAAGTAATTTGTTTTACATTTGAAAGCTTTAGATACATGAGGTGGTGAAAATAACATGATGTGACTCAACTACCAGATCAAGAAGAAAATGTAGATTCAGGGAGCCCAAATTAAGTCACTTCAGCAACCAGTAAGTCATTGCTACTACCACTTCTCATACACAAAGGACAAATATATACTCTAAACTTCAAAATGGAAAATAACCTTTCTTTCCTATGAGATTGAACATTTATGTGGACAGATACTGTAAATATATATGTTATATTTTGCCTTTGATCTTCATTCAAAATTTTCCTCTTCATTCCCCTCAACAAACAATAAATATAAATTGACCCAGAAATATTTGTCAAAAGGAGATGACACACGGACTATTGACCGCTAATTACAAAGTTTTGTTTTATTTATCATAATAAAGAAGTGATAGAAATCTATAAAGAAGAATCTTTAAAGTTTTGTGAAAATTAGAACTTGTGCATTATTAAGATATAAATTTGATTCATCAAAAAGACAAGTCAAATTTAAGCAAGTTTGTATATTTCTTTGTGTTTAGAATTAACTGTTGATTTCTTAAAAGTAATCTCAAACACTTCTTTGGGATTTGAAAGAAAGCAAAAAAATGTGCAGTGCTTGAGAAAGAAAATATATGTAACTCCATTAAAGAGAAAACAATCCTTAAGTTTTTCAATATAATAAATGTACGGGAAAAGAAATTGCAGCATTCTCTTGGACAGAAAGCTATTAATTAATTTCTAGTATGCTAAAAAGAAACAAAAGACTGAGCAATAACAAGCATAAAGTTAAGCTGTAATTATGTTCTACATTATATATTTACACATGTACTTTGATGTTTTTTTTTTTAACATATCAATTGGGACATGTGCAATACTTGTAATGTAAACAATTCTTTGAGCAGAAAGAATTTGTCTACTTTTTTTTTTTATTCTTTTTAACATTTTTTTTATTACCCAAAGAACAAAAATACTGATTGAATCAAACATTAATGGTGCAAATTGCCTTATTGTGAAAAAAGAAACAGCTTTAGTAAACCATTGTTTTTTTGAGTTTTTTTTTTTTTACATTAACATCAAAGCACTGGGGAAAACAAACCCTGATAATGGTCTGAGTTGATGGAAGCAGCAATTTTTTTGAGAAAAGAAATCTGACTATATAACTCACTTAATCACTGCCTATTTGACCACTGAGGCATGTAATACTGAAATTCATGTATAAGTAACCCATTGATATTTTTGTGTTCATAAAGAAATACATGAATAATAAATTAATGTATACTGTCACTGTGACCATAAAAAATAATTAAATAAAAATTAATTATAGTATCAAAAATAATTATAATTATCATTAATTCACTCTTTCTAAACCAATAAGAATTGACTCCACTTTTTTCTTTTACATGCACAAACACATGATATTCTTACTATCAGACAAGCAGTCAATACAGTCTGTCAACACCTGTGTCAAAGAAGATTTCAGCTCTTTCGACCATGATAGTAATATTTATCTCTTAATATTTATTTAGACCATGATAGTAATATTTATCTCTTATTATTTATTTAGGCTAGAAGTTTTAGGGATCTGGTAGTTTTCACTCCTTGTTTGTGTCCGGTGTATTTGAAACTGTCATGGTTCAGTAGAGATAGCCAGACATTTGCCAATACGGTGTCTCAGCATGTGCAACATCATGTTTTCCTGTTGTTATGTGTTACCTTTGACACCGTTTCTGTGTTATTTTCATTTGGCAAAGATAGTTTGTCCTACCTTCAAAGTAGTTTTATTGTTTGTAAATTTTAATGTCAGTGTGAAGCTGACTATGTAGGACAAACCAATCAATGCCTTAAGACACAAATTGAGCAACATGTGCCTACCGATATTAGACAAGGTGTTGCAAACAGTTCATGAGTCAGCTATCGAGCAGCATTTGATAGGTAACCCAGGTTGTACTGCCAAGTACACAGATGCAGTGTTTCCAATTTTATGCTGAGCACGGTCAGCCACATGTAAATTTTGAAGCTAGTGTACATAAAGTTACATCAACCATGTTTGCATAGACAGAAAGAGAGTTTTATTCATTCTATCTTTATTTTAAGAGACCTGTGAGTAAATCTTTTTCTATTTTATACTGAGTAGGAAATTATATACTTCAGTTTATTGCCATCTTCCATTTTATTCTCCTCATTTTAGTAATAAATTTCAGTTTTAGTTATGGTTCTTCATTTAACTTCCTTTAACATGTATAAACTTGAGATTCTCTGTGAAAATTTGTTTTTGTTTATTTAAGAAGGTACCAGTGTATTCTTCTGAAAAAGTGTTGTTTGAAAAAGGATCCTTTGAAGAATACATTTTTGTATATTTAAGACAAATATATATTCACATACGCATACAGAGAGAGCTGGTGTTAATAAAATAGTCCTTGATGTAATATAACAGAGCTGAGCTATTAAGTATATATTAATATACCTATTATCCTTCACCGGTTCTACTGAAAATCCTTTGAAATTTACAAAAAAACAATAATCCCCATTTATGTATAAAATAATAATCCCACTTTTAAATAAATTCTTTCTTTCATAAAGTTTTAGGTCCACTATTTTAATATAATTTTTTTTTTATAATACCATTAATCATTGTTTATTTTAAATATAAAATAAAAATCCTGTCTATTTTAAATGCAATATATATTTTTTAAAATAAAAAAAGAAAAATCCCCATATAGTATAAGGACTGCAACAGCATTGCATTCAGCAGACATTTTTATTAAAATTTAAAATATGTCACTACCAAGAACCTGAAGATTCTGTTCTGCATGAAACTCCAAGTTATGTTACCAGTGTGGAATAATACATATATTTAGTAATATAAAAACACTTAAATGAATTGATAGTTAAATATAGGCATAAAAATAAATATCTACTTGAATACATTGATCCAGATTAATTTTTAATGTAATTTATGCATGTAAATATAAAATACATTGAAGTCAACACCCAGAGGCCACAGTCTCATTCATGCTGAATGCAATCCTCTGGCCATATGCCTGATGATTCCATTTAGCATGTAATAGTCACCACTGAGTGATGACTTCATGCTTTCATTCTCACCTTCATTTGTTCTCTCTCTCGTTCTCACTTTTATATTCCCTCACTTGTTCTCCCCCCTCTCTCTCTCTTGCTCAATTTTACTCTCTCTCTCTCAGCCTTTCACCTCTATTTTTCATACACTCTTTTCTTTCTGCTATTTTTTTTTATCTTTCTTCACTTTTGTACTTATCTCTTGCTTTTGTTCAATCTTTCTGTTTCTCCACTTTTACTCACACTCTCTTTGTTTCTCCACTTTTACTCACACTCTCTTTGTTGCTTCTCTTTTGGTCTCTCTCTTTGTTGCTTCTCTTTTGGTCTCTCTCTTTGTTGCTTCTCTTTTGGTCTCTCTCTTTGTTGCTTCTCTTTTGGTCTCTCTCTTTGTTGCTTCTCTTTTGGTCTCTCTCTTTGTTGCTTCTCTTTTGGTCTCTCCTTTGTTGCTTCTCTTTTGGTCTCTCTCTTTGTTGCTTCTCTTTGGTCTCTCTTTGTTGCTTCTTTTTGGTCTCTCTCTTTGTTGCTTCTCTTTTGGTCTCTCTCTTTGTTGCTTCTCTTTTGGTCTCTCTCTTTGTTGCTTCTCTTTGGTCTCTCTCTTTGTTGCTTTTTTTGGTCTCTCTCTTTGTTGCTTCTCTTTTGGTCTCTCTCTTTGTTGCTTCTCTTTTGGTCTCTCTCTTTGTTGCTTCTCTTTTGGTCTCTCTCTTTGTTGCTTCTCTTTTGGTCTCTCTCTTTGTTGCTTCTCTTTTGGTCTCTCTCTTTGTTGCTTCTCTTTTGGTCTCTCTTTTGTTGTTGCTTCTCTTTTGGTCTCTTTTGGTCTCTTTTTGTTGCTTCTCTTTTGGTCTCTCTCTCTCTTTGTTGCTTCTCTTTTGGTCTCTCTTTTGTTGCTTCTCTTTTGGTCTCTCTCTTTGTTGCTTCTCTTTGGTCTCTTTTTGTTGCTTCTCTTTTGTCTCTCTCTTTGTTGCTTCTCTTTGGTCTCTCTCTTTGTTGCTTCTCTTTGGTCTCTCCTTTGTTGCTTCTCTTTTGGTCTCTCCTTTTGTTGCTTCTCTTTGGTCTCTCCCTTTGTTGCTTCTCTTTTGGTCTCTCTCTTTGTTGCTTCTCTTTTGGTCTCTCTCTTTGTTGCTTCTCTTTTGGTCTCTCTCTTTGTTGCTTCTCTTTTGGTCTCTCTCTTTGTTGCTTCTCTTTTGGTCTCTCTCTTTGTTGCTTCTCTTTTGGTCTCTCTCTTTGTTGCTTCTCTTTTGTTCATGTGAGGTTTTGCATTAGGTTTTATAGACAAGATAGTAAATGAAAACAGGAAGAAAAGACAAAACATCAATTGTAAGAATGTATGGTTGTCAACAGGAGAAAAATCCCAAGATCCAAACTAAAATTAGAGGTGACAATATCAAAGAAGTCAAGAAAGGAAACATTTTAACAAGTGTTGGGAAATGTGACAGAGATCTGAAGGTGCATTGAAATAGTAAAAGATGCCTTCTAAAAGCTAAGCAAAGTATTAAGAAACAAGAATTTCCTTCAAAACAAAGAAAAGAGTTCTGAAATGCTATGTAATATCAATTTTCCTATATGACAGTGAATACTAGTCAATTTCTTCACAGATAGGTAGGAGACTTGAGGCAACAGTGACATGCTTCTAGATGCTGAGAATACTATGGATGGAATATGTGATGAACGAGGAAGTTTTATTGATAATGAAAGCAAAACAGAGACTTAGAATCCGAAAGAGATAGTTGATATTACGGAGACACATAACTAGAAAAGAAGACTTGGAGAATTTGATACTCACAGGTCATATTAAAGGCAACAGATACAGTAGGAAAACATTAAGTAACTAACCTAATGAACTTGTGTAAGTGGATAGCAGAACAGGGAGTGAGAAAGATAGTAAAAATGTAAACATTGACCATTCTTTCAGCATCTTTAGCAATGGTATGAAAATATGAATTCCATTTGAGGTTTGGAGTGAAACTTAGTCCCAATAGATATTTGAGGCAAGGAGCTTCATTGAGAGTATGATGACTGGAGAAAATTTAAAGTCTGCTCAGTGGTGATGTAATGTTACTGACTTTGGAACCATTACACCATTGGCTTTGAGAGCTAGGTCAGAAAAGAGATCAGCTGCCAGGCTCCAATCATCTAGATTATGGTATCATCTGCATATATATTTACTAAAGATTTGAGAATGTTCTGTGGTAGATTGTTAATACCAAGCAGATAGAGGGTAGGTCCAAGAAGAAAGCCTTGAAGGATGCCAACATTGATCTACTGATCATCAGAGGACTGGCCTTTAACAGCGACCTTTATAGACCTACCTGATGGAAAAGACTGGGAAGACTCTTCCAGAGATTCCACAGTTGGAGAGTTTGTGCAGCAACCCCACCTCCTGCCCCACACCTCATCAAAGGCATCTAAGGCAATTGCTCTTGAGATATGTTTATTATCAAGTGTTTCCTGACTTCCAGTCATATTGATAGTTAAGACATCAGCAGTTGATCTAGAGGAGAAAAAATCATACTGTTTGTCTCTCGGGAAATTGTTTTTGTTGTGGAGTTTCTTGTTGAGGATAGCTTCAAAAAATTTGCTAATGATCCTAAGGGGGCTAATGGGATGATACTGTGATGGGGTCAAGTTCTCACCCACATTCTAGTTAACAGGGCTGACAGCTTCCATGAGCTTGAAAAACATTTTTTCTTCAGGTAGCAGTTAAACAGCTCTTCCAGAATTGAAATTAGCTCTGGGCCAAAATTCTTAAGAACTATTGCAGTGATTTCATCCAGACCAGTAACCTTCATAGAGTCAAGGATTTTAATAACTCTGGAAACTGCCCAGGCTAAGATAGAAATATTACAAAGCTTGTGTTCCATGTGGTGGAAGAAGTTGTGTAAGGAATAAGCCTTGTCATCTAACTTTGTTTTAGAGGTAAAGTTCATTGTGAAGAGTTTAGCCTCATCTGACAAGGATGTTATAACCTCAGGGCCATTTATAATGGATGGCAATGAATGTTTTCTTCTATTGGAAATTGTTTGATTTTCCAGAACTTGTGAGATCTAAGTTTTTATTTTTAAGTTTGGTTTTTACAGCCTGTGTATAGCTTCTTTTACATTTTACAGGACTTTCTTGCAAGCAGTTCTAAATGAGACAAGAGTTCTGCTACAACATTGCTTCTGATAGAGATGTTAGTAGGAGTTACAGTGAACCATGGCTGCCACACATTCAGGAGTGAACCAATGCTGGCTATTTGGCTTTTGCTGGTATTTTTGTAGGAGACAAAATTCACGATGATGGAGAGAATCCATTCAGAAATAAGGATTGCTGTTCTGGAAGCGCCATTTTTTTTTTTTAAAGAAAAACAGAGAGGCTATTTAAAGAAATAATATCTGACTCTTAGAGAAATGGGGCCCTAATGAAAAGAATTCAAGGATCTTCATCTCTTGCTGACTAGTTCACCATCAATGAAAAACATGGTCAGGTTACAGGGTGATATGGAGACACAGGAATTGTCAGGCAACCTCCCTTGCCAAATCAAACAACTAAAAGAAGAGAAGAAATGAAACACCTCTGCAAAGCCAGAACTTCTTCTATAGTCAATATGGTAAGAGATACTTCTCTTGAAGAGGCCTCACTTAACCCTGGGAGAGTCTGAAATAGATCTGGAAATTTTTGTGCACAAAGCGAAGTCTGGATAATAGTGATATGGATGATGTTGATGAACGAAAATAAACATCAGGAAAAATTATCACTGTCAAGGTTCCATAAGTTATTTGGAATTTATTTCTAAAAGGTTAATGCTCTGACACATATGATGAGATGCAAAAGTTGCATAGGTAATTAATTCTTTACTTTCTTGGCTTAATATGAAAAGACATAAACTCACCTGGCTTAATTAACCATCTTGGAATAGCAACAGATACACATGAGTATAGATTACAGAAAATATAGATACAAGTAAGTATTTGGGAAATTTATGACAAAATGAAAAAAGTTTTCTTATGATGCATTTTGTCCTTCAAGACTTCAATGGCCTAAATTTGTTATCTTGGGAGGACTACACATGCATACGACAGACGGGTGCTGGGAATTTTAGAATTTTTTTTTTTTTATAGCTAGCTGAATTCATTTAGAGTCTTTTTTTTTGTTTCTTTCCATCACTTTTGTAAGGAAGTATTCCACACTGTGATATTAGATCTGCCAAGAATGGTGAAATGTTGTAAGAGCCAGAGTGCAAATTTATTATAGATGACCTTGTGATTAAGGCACTCTCTAGACATTTACATGTAGTGAATTATTGTCTCACTTAATCAGAATAGCATTTTTTATGTCAAAGTTATGGTCACTTTCATCATGGTAGGCAACCAATGCATTTGACATATTATTTGATAAAATATCCCTTTTGTGTTCATATAATCTATTATTTAGATTCCTTGAGGTTTCTCCAATGTATTTTTTGTGACAGTTATTACAACTCCTCCTTCAGGTTTTTGCTTATTGTTTTGCTTAGTATTGACTAAGTTTTTATTGTTTTAGATGTAGTAGTAACAACTTTTATGTTGAGTTTAAATAGATTCTCTTCAATTGTAGATGTGATAGAATTAGTAGGCAGGATAATATATTTTTTGCTTCACTGTGTTTCTCAGGAGGAGCCATTTTTTTTGTTTTGGGTCTTTTGTTTTGTGCTGAATGTAAGTATAAATGAATGTATGCTTCAGCTGATGTAAGGTAACAACAAAATATAAATTATATCAATCATAAAAGTTGGTTTTGCAATGCATAGATAAATGTTATAAATGTTTACGATATATTCATATATTTTATTAATTAAATATTAAACATTATTTTTAGTGGATACTCATATTTGAATAGATGTTCCATTTATTTATTAAACTGTATATTTATTTATTTACATCTACTTGCATGAATATTCAAGAGATCTTATTAAGGAAAAATATGCATTCTCTGGCAGGATTCAAACCTCTGTATCTCCCTTAGCAGAGGAAACTATTGTAAGATCTACTGTACTTTAAACCAGTGTTTCCCAACCTATGGCCAAAATGGACCATGACAAATTTCAGTTGGGCCACAGAAATTTCAGAATTTTTACTGGGCCACAATAGTTGTATCTTTATTGGATATATTCGATGTAAAATGAAAGTAATTATTTACATTATAATAATTTCATGGGCCATAAGCTAAAACAAGGTGGGGAATCACTGCTTTAGTCTATCTCAGCCATGAGGTGCAATGATGATAAAGCAAAGTTGAATAGTACATTTTAAACACAAATCTCTAAGACTCACAAAATATACATATCCGTTCAATTTCATATCCTAACATAAACAAAAAATTTCTAAAGAAGTGATGGATTTTTATTTATTAACTTGATAGATTTTAATACTTAAATGTTATTTTTAGTATATACCCATATTTGAATAGATGTCTAAATATAAAAATACTGTTTAAACAAAACAAATAGAATGTCTACTCAAATATGGGTCACCACTAAAAATAACATCTAAAGGGATGAAATCTATCAGATTAATAAATAAAAAATCCATCACTTCTTTAGAAATAAGCATATATTAAGTATTCATTAACATACCTTTAATTTCATTGGTTTTATACATGAACATTTGAATGTTTATATTAGCAGAATATGAATTCAGTCAGGGTAGATATTGCTTAAAAATTTATTCTTTCATTTATTCCTTTCCTCATTCATATTAGACTGGGTTCAAATCAAGCCACAACTAAAATGCAACTGACACAATAGTACATGCCAAAATATAAAGTATGTTTATTATTGAAGGAGTTATGCAATAATACTCAAAGAACATATCTACAGAATATAGTTACCACCAAAAAATAAAAGCAGAATAATTTTGGTTGATCAAATACCATGACTGTGAATAAAATTTTAAGTCACATTTCAAAAGAATTTATAACCAAAATATAAATCAGTAAGAACAGGATACCATCTATTTTTAAATATTTTGGCTCATTCTACCACTCCAAGATACACTTGATTCCTTCTGCCATGTTTTATCGTTACAAAAGTCAGATTAGACGAAAAATGGAGTATTGTTGCAATGCCTTGGCTGGAGCTTGTGAATCAACACTTTCCAGTCTTGATGGAATTCAAAATCATTTACACTCTCTTGTTTGGGAAAGCTTATTTTTTGTTCTACGACCTCATTCCCACAGATGCAACATTACAAACCTATATCACTACTCTAACACTATTTCCATGACAAACATT